GTGGTGGTGGGGGTGGAAAGAAACAGAAAGAAAGAATCGTGTGCACTCTCTATAGGTAATGAGCGGACAATTTATCCTGTGATCACATGAACACACATGAGTCTGGCCTTAACTCTTAACCCTGTTGGTTCGGCGGGAACACACCTCATCGCGCGCTATTTTAACCCTTATGTGTATTTGTTTTCTGACAGCATCGTCTTCACGCTTTCTTCTGTTTTTTTTTTTGTGGTAAATGTTTTGCAGCGCTCGCAACTGCATAAGGTCATATGAGCGCGCGGGACACACTAAATATTTTCAGTTGGTAGGAAATGTTGAATTTTGCCTGGGTGGCGGCCGAAGCCTACTCTTATCGATTTTTGACCACCAAAGGATCTTAAACGTACACAACTTGCACCCGGGACCTCCGAGATTTTGAACCCTTTTTCGAGAAGGCTAGGTGTAGATCTTTCCTACCAGAAGATCAGGGGTATGGCTGAAAGACAGCAGCAAGAAGGAGCCAAAGAGCAGCAGTAGAAAGGCTGCAGAAAGAGTCAGAAGTCCAGAGCAGGGGGCAAAGGAGGTAATGGGGTGGGGGCAGGAAGTGAAGACGAAAGCAGACGAAAGAACATTGAAGGAGAGCAGGAAAAGAGACAATTTTAGACAAGAAAGTTTCCGTTTCTAACCGGATTAGAATCCTGGACCTTTGAATGAGAGGCGAACAAATTAACCTCTTGGCCACGAGAGCCCCCATTTTATTCTTTTTTTATATTTATGCATAACATAATTATCTACTTTCACCATCATGATTGAGTGCCATATCTGAAACTGACATTGCCGATTATGACTCCCAATTCATTTCTCTGCTCAAACCATCTAAAACAACAACAACAAATAAACAGTAACCCCCAAAGAAGAACACAAACACAAAAAAACACAAAAAGAGAAACCTCCCAAGAAATTCACGAAGTCTTCTAAGATTCCACATTACTACTTTAGGAGAGAAAATACGCCCAATAACTGGTCTCTCCAATCAGCTCCTTCATCATGTCACATTTACAACACGCTGGTCTTGTGCAATAATTGTGGACATTTATTTATTTGCAATCAAAGGGTTAATATGTTCACTTGGCATGAAGGCTCACAATTTAATTGCTCACATTCCCCAACTCTATGAACTGGTTCATACACGTGAAAGGCTGCGACGTACATAACTGTGAGGTAAATTTTTGTTGTTGTTGCTGTTGTTGTTATTGTCGTCGTCTTGGTTGCTGCTGCTGTTGTTGTTGTTGTTCTTCTTCTTTTATTGTTGTTGTTGCTGTTGTTATTGTTGCTGCTGTTGTTGTTGTTGTTGTTGTTGTTGTTATTGTTATTGTTGTTTTTGTTTTTGTTGTTGGTTGTTATTGCTGAAGTAATTTTTTTCACATAGTTTCCCCTCTATGTCACGTATCCTCGCGGGGGAACAATATCTGTTTTCGAACTGAAGTAAAGTGTCGCTAGAAAACCGTGAAAAACTTGTGAAAGCGACCAGAAGGCCCCCCAAAAGGTCCAGGTTATGATCAGATTCTGTTTGGAAACTCGATTGACATTCCACTCCAGCATCAACATAATATACAAAATTAAATCATATATTGTTAAGGATTTCCTTTTTTGGAAGGGTGTGTGTAATATAGGCTATATATTTATATAATTATATATATATATATATATATATATATATATATATATATGTGTGTGTGTGTGTGTGTGTGTGTGTGTGTGTGTGTGTGTGTGTGTGTGTGTGTGTGTGTGTGTGTGTGTTTTCGTACGCGCACGCACACGCGTATGGCTTCGACTCTAGGAAACAGCGTGAAGACAGAGATACTCGTCAATGCAAACCTTCCGACGTGGGTATCGAACTGACCACGTCTTTGACGTACCATATCGCAGAGCCTATTTGGACCACCACGTACAATGGCTTCATTTACATGCAGGAAACCAGATAGATAAAACGCCACACGTATGGGCATGGCAGTTTGCTGTACCATGAGCGGTTAGTTGGTGGGTGCTCTGGTGTGGTTTGCTCCCTCTTTCTTATCAAACATCCGTCGTCCTTATTATCTCCTCCTTTTTGTGTTCGTTACTCTCTTGTAACACCGCTAATCTTCGGTATATATGACTTCATTGTGCTGCTAACACCGTAAAACTCTTACTAACGCGAAATTTCTACCCTGAAAATACCTTGAAAATAACTTTATTACACCAGTACTTACTAACAACTTCATATTCAACCACCACTGCTACCATTATTAACCAACCGGCCATTGTTCACCTTGTTCACAATTTATCATCAAACCAGCACAACCCACCTTGTTAACAACTAATAGTTAATTATCATTCACCATCACGTTGTTAACAACTAATAATTAATTATCATTCACCATCACCTTGTTAACAACAACATGTAATTGTTTAACGAGCATTAATCATCTTTTAAAAATCGTATAACGTTATCACCATGAAAGCATATTTTGAACAATATTTACTATATAACTAACATTAACTACCTTGTTAACATATTGCTCAATCACCATTTATTAATCGACTTGTTAACAACGTATAATCAAATCACCATTGGTCACCATGTTAATAACGTATCAACAATTCATCATTCTTCTCCTAGTTAACAACGTATTATCTAATCACCGTCATAATTACTCATTTTGGTAGTGCCTTATTATCTCTCCACCATTACTCACCTTGAGCTCCAAGGACAAGGAGGGACAGAGCGAGAAGTGCGACATTGGTGAACGTAGTCATGTTGTCAGGGTGCTGGAAGAAAATAACACAAAAGAACAAAATCAATAGACAAACAAATGAACTAATGTATGCATTTACTGAAGCATCCAGAAACAAAACAAGGAGCCAAATTGGAAAAAAACCAACCCCGGTAAACATTATTCCTTTCCTTGTTTCCTTTTAGTACGTAAGATTTGCCAGTATTTTTGATTATATTTGGGAGAATTTACAACAAAAAATGCCAGCAGAACCACCCTAGAAGAAGCTGCGTTGAAAGCTGTGAAAATGCAGCGTACTTTGCAGTAAAGAAAGAAAAAAAACCTTTTCCTAACTCTTATACAAGTGTTTACCGAGGCATATGGTGTAGCGGTTAGGCGCTTCGCTGTAGAATGCACGAAATCCGGGTTTGACTCCCCAGTGGGAAGAAAACTTTGATCGAGTATCTCTATCTTTCTGTTGGAATGTATGCCTGTCAGTACGGCTTGGTCTTTGCAGGTAGAGTTAGAAGCCCGCCTCGTACTAAATGATCTAAATTTTGTCGACAGGGGCGTAAAAACAGTTACATTGGTAAAAAGGTGGTAAAGTGTATTTGCCGGCGTTTGTGGTGTAGTGGTTAGGTGCTTCGCTATCGCACGCAAAAGAATCAAGTTTGATTCGAGTGTGGGTAGAATGTATATAGGTGGTACCCCTTCCAGCCTGGGTTGGCCATTTCAGGCAGGGCCGAAGCCTGTAACCTGATTAATTAGTCTAAACTGTTTTGATTGTGGGGGGGGGGGGGGGGGGGGGGGAGGGGTAAAAAGTGTACATTTAAACTAACATTTCAAGCATGTTTAAGTTCTCGAAAGTTATAATTATTATTAGACGCTTGCCCCCTATTCCATGTACAATAGTTCATTTGATCTAAATTGTAGACCAGTCTAGGCGCATCGTAAAAAATAGTGAAAAGAGTTAAAAAATGTAGGGGTAAGCTTTTATTATCATCAATTACGTAATTATTTCTGCCCCCTTTGATAGTAGCCAACATAATAATGGTATTCTCTCTCGGCGCTAGTGCCCTTTTCTTCTTGTTTCGTCATATAATACTGTGTGAACTTTATGCTTCCCGGGAAAGGGAACTGTTGGTGAGTGCTCTGCGGTCTGCTGGCGTAATTGATATGATTATAGTGTTGTAAAGCGCATAGAGCAAGCGTACTGTGCAGCGTAGGTGCACGCCATATAGAAGCAATCATCATCATCATCATCATCATTATTATCATTATTATTGTTATTATTATTATTATTATTATTATTATTGTTATATTAATTTTAGTAGTAGTAGTAGTAGTAGTAGTAGTAGTAGTAGTAGTAGTAGTAGTAGTAGCAGTAGTAGCAGCAGCAGCAGTAGTAGTAGTAGTGGTAGTAGTAGTAGTAGTAGTAGTAGTAGTAGTAGTAGTAGTAGTAGTAGTAGTAGTAGTAGTAGTATTAGTAGTAGTGGTAGTGGTAGTAGTAGTAGTAAAATAAAATAATAATAATTACTATTATTACTCTTTTCATTTTTATATTTATCATTATTCTTATTTTTATTCTTAATTTAAAACAATTTTTAAAATTGTTAATAAAACGTTACCTTCTGTTCCGGAACGACTTTATAGGGAAAATGAACTTCCACTGTTTTTAATACAGTATTACTTAGAAGCGAGAATGAAACTTGATGCTTTTTTCTCCCTCTGATGCATGTCTAGTAAGCGTGAAATGTGAACTTTTATGCATCATCGGAACCGCGGTACACCCCATATTAAAATGCATGAAATTCGATGCTTCATGCAACTGTGCACATTTTGTGGGTGTGGAGTCTGATACTATTACAAACAGATGCTTCCAATAGAGAATAGTTTAGTCTTATTTTAGTAAGAGTTTTACGGCAATTGCAACGCTATAAGGGAATGCTAGTGTCAAGGATTAGACATATAACAAGGGAGCAACAAGAAACCAACAACAAACAAACACATACACACACAAAACAAGAACAGAAAACCCAATAAAACCACTTGGAGGGGAGATAAGGACGATAGATGTCTGATAGGAATGTAGGACCCTGTAGCAAACCACACCAGAGCACCGGCAAACCGCCCACTAGAGCAGTCTTCAGAATCGATGCAAGAGAAACTGATAATTAGGCCTACAGTTATCTGATGTCTGGCCCATAGTGGCAACTTTAGTGGGTTATAGTAGACTTGAAGAATTTGTCTATCGTCCTTATCTCTCAC